GCGCAGGGCGCCCGGAGCGCCGCGGGGCGCGCTCACCCCGACCCCGGGGAAGCTGCTCGGGGCACTTTTTGCAAAAGCAGTGAAACTCGAGAGATTTTTGTTAATTCACGTTTAAGCCAAATAGAACTGTTTTTTTCCCGCCTGCCTGCCTCGTACAAAAGGAACAGAACGGCATCAAAGATTTGTGCTAAATCAGTTTTCTGCACAAATTCGTATAGGAAATCGGTTAGTGCAGTCACCTAGTCTAAATTTATAGAAATGTATCAAGAGAAGTTACACCTTGCTCAGAGTGGGTAAATTAGATGTTTGTGGTGTTACTAGCACACAGAAACAGATGTGTTTTCTTCCTACCCCAAACCAGCACAGCTGATTTGCATGACTGCCAGCCTGCTTCAGAGCCATGACCATCAACCAGGTGTTAACAGGTTATTTTCTTCAGCAAACATTTACCAAGCACCACAGAGAGGCCTGAAATGACTCTGTACCCACCTCCATCTCTACATGCTGTTGAGTTCGATGATGGTTCTCCTTGTACTGGTTGGCTCTAAGCACTTGCTGCTCAATGCCCAGAAGAACTGCTTCACAACCATCACACCTGCAAGATACAAACAATGCCAAAATGCTTAAGAGTTCTCTCTGGAGCAGCTCAATCAGGCAACCTGAAAAGTCATGCTCATCTACAAGTTTAAGATTATTAAATTTATACCTCATGCTTCAAGATTAGAGTTGCAAAAAGCTGGCAAGAACAAGCTTTGCTGCATACTCAATGCATTTCACAGCATTCTCTAGGGAGTCTGTGTTGCTCTTACCATCAAAAGTAAATGCAGGTTCAGTGCACTTTCATCTTTCTTTTCAGCCAGGATGACTGCTTAAACAGGAATGCAATATATTTTTTTAAGGTAAGCAAAACTTCAAATTTAAAGTAAAAAGTCATACTGAGATAACTCCCTGCCTGTTAGTGCTCAGAAGTCAAGAGCATTCAATACAGAGCTTGGAATTGGAGAAGACAAAAACGGAATTAGCAACGGGGGCTCACTGTAACCTTCCAAACAATGCTGTAAGGTCCCAGAAGCTGCCGGAGCTCTCCCATTGTGACAAGACTGAGGGAGTTGGAGTAGAGAAGCACAAAACCTGCCCCCACCTCAGGACAGCATATCTGCCCAGCAGTTTAATTACTTTTCATGTACGCATTACCATAGCAACTAGGAAGCAATTCCCAGTCAGCTCAGGACCTGTCACAGGCTCTACAGTCTACAGGGGAATTTCTCTGGGTGGGAAAGGAATCCTACAAAAAGATGAGAAGCAGATTTCTGGCAAAGGTACAAAAGGATAATACCACAGTCCCAATATGGTTGCAGGCAGCCTGCATTTGCAGGAACAAAAAGAAGGCAAACAAAGGCATCTGAAACTTCAAACTTGAAGAGACATCCCCTCCAAAAAGCTGTGACTCTCTAGAACTTGCCCACACAGTTCTCATCACAGTGAAAAAGGCTGAGAAGTTAACAGCCAGCTCTGGTTTTGCTATCAAGTGTACCAGCAGGAAGGGGAATAACTCTCATCACAAGACCACAAGTCCAGTTTGGCACCTCCCTCTGCAAAGGCCTTGACTTCTCGTGAGGTTCTGCCATGTAAAAGCTACAGTGAGAGCAGAATCTCACAGTGTGCTATGGTTTGGCTTGATACATGACACAAATTGAATCCCAGATGGGATCTTGGAAAACTTGCCCAACAGACTCCTCCTCCAACTGCCTACTTATAGCATAAGACTCCTGATTAATGGAACATGGTGAAATTGAGCCAGCACTTGAAACTCTGAGAAATAAGGAAAAAACGGGACAAGCTGTGTACAAGGAACAAGGAAGGTGGAGAGACTGCCTCACCATTCCTGGAGTGTTTTGACAATGTTACTGATGTCCTTCTTCTGAATGTCTCTGCCGATACAGAAATCCACCTCTAGCACCTGGTTTCGCTGATCCAACTTCCCTTGGATAATATCTGTGTAAACTGCTTCAATGATCAGATCTTCCAGCTCCCTCAGATTCCTCATATCCAGGTCCTTCAGCAACACAGAATAGGGAATGCACTAAAAACAGCAAGACCCAGAGTAAGTTAACAGTCCCAGAGCCAAAATGAACAGCAGTCTCGGAAGGTCGAGACTCCAATGTTTACTGTATCCTATGCTTTGGCCTGCAAGTGCAGCAGTGACTGTGGCAGAACAAACTCCTGCTACCAGGCTATGAAATATTCTGACACAACTTTGGCAATTCCTGAAGCTTTGGCATAGCACATTCTAGAAGAAAAAATGTAATGGGATTGCAGAAGAAATTAAGAGTGCTGCTTAGTTTTCTCTGGAACAAGAAGTCAGTGTTGTTAAGAATGATTCTCCACCTCCAGCAGTGAAAGAAGCCATACAAAGCTTCCCAATTCCTGACCAATTTGCACATCAGTTCAAACATCTCATCCGTGGAAGTCCACTAAGTTAATGCCCCAAATGCACCAGGAGAGAACACTGCACAGGTACTTTCCTAGTTACAGTGGGTTTCTTGTGAGGACTCACTCAGTCCAATAAACTTCAGTGCTACAGAATGGATGCCATTTCCCAACACAGACCCAGGAGACAACTGCTGCCATTCCCCGTGCACTTTACCTTCATGCGGGAAGCCAAGCTGACGATCGTCAAGTGTTTCAGCTTGTTTTTCTGAGTCACTGTTAATTCAGGCAGGTTATCTTTGTTTGCTGTCAATGTCAAAAAGGCAAAATTCAGGATTTGACTTCAAAAATCATATAACCCAGGCTGCAGAACTCCAGGCTAGTTACACTACGCTAAACCCTTAAAGGTTGAACTCTTCCAGCTACTGTAGGTGCTGGTGAGCAGAGAGCACTGCGACTGCAGGCAGATTGGCACACCCAGGAACAGAGGGCAAAAGCTAAAAACAGGCTGGCAATTCTCTGCTTCTTTAGTAATTCTGGTTCTGGAATTAGAAACTAATTCACATCTACACTGCTTTGTGCTCTGCCAAAACAGTTGGTCAGTGCTTTGTTTCTACCAAGTCATTTTTGTTTCATTAACAAGCTGACAGAATAAAACCTTCCCCCTTTGCTATCTGGTTGCAAATACAGATGGTTTAATTCCTCTAAAGAGCTGCATAATTTAGAGTTGAAAGTGTAAAGTACCAGGCTGAGGAAGAGAGGAGAAATTATTAATCTAGATGGCCACACTGTCACTGTATTATATCCATGTGCCTCATGAATATTTAAAAACAGAAAGGAAACTGGCAGCTCTCCAAAGCAAAGAAACTCTTTAAAATATCTGCTTTAATGGAAATTAGTGTTTCAGGGCCTCTCACATTCTCCCATCTATCCCACCTCACTCAATGCTCTACATTTTGAATACTTATCCCCCTTTCTCTTTCTTTACTAGAAAAGGAAGAACAAACTGTGTTGTCACACGCTGGGACACAAGAGCCATGCACAGCAAACACATCCTCTAATCAGTCACAGAATTCATGAGGCTCATGTTGCTCCACAGCCACTGGAATTTCCAGTCCTTGCACTTACAGATGACACTTCTCCTTACAGGAACTGGATAGCTTATCCACCACAGTGATAGCCAGCACTATGACAGAATTATTTGTCACACTCTGTAATGGTCTGGATGAGGCTGCTACCCACAAATGAAGCATTAAATTGTGGCAAAATGGAAGCATAAGCACCAGAGATAAAAGCACATTTCGACAGATACAAAGATGATTCACACACAGGCCTTCTGAAGCTGTGCAAAAGTCATTATTTCGATTTGTATTCTAGCTAAGAAATCCTTCATTTTGTCTTAGCAATGCCATCAGGGAATAAAAGGTTATCTCATAAACCATATAGGTTTTCTAAATAATGCAGAACAATTTTGTCTGAGTTTTCTGCAGCTTCCATAACCAGTGCCATCTAAATTTCCAAACAGATGTCTGAAATTGCCCTCTGCAGAGGTAAGTGAACATCAATGAATTCTCATACAGACCAATTCAATCCAGAGCTGGATCCCATCCAAACCAGGAAAACACCACAGTCCCTGGCCCTTCCTTCACACTTTAGCAGTTAAGAAGCACACATGACCCAGAGTTCTTGGACACTTTCACCCAGCCACACTAGACCAGGCATCACAGAAAGCAAAGAGCTGCCTCTGACAATCCTACAGGGCAACCCAGTCCCACACTCTGCAGACAGACAATCTCTTACCTACATAGTCTGGGTACGTTCCGTACGCAAACAGGGTCAGCAGACAGCAGCTGGAGCAGCATTAGAGCCTTCAGCAAGCTGGATGGGAAGAAAAGAAATTTCACATAACATAGTAACAGTCAACATGACCCTGACAGGCAACTTCTCCAGAGAATTGTCTAGGTCTGCATAGGACAAGCAGTACTCAGAAAAGCAATTACATCCTGATCTTACAAAGCTGAGCTCTTTCTAAGGCCTCATGAGCAGCAGTTTTAGAGTCAAGGTGAGCCTTCAGCAAGCTGGATGGGAAGAAAAGAAATTTCACATAACATAGTAACAGTCAACATGACCCTGACAGGCAACTTCTCCAGAGAATTGTCTAGGTCTGCATAGGACAAGCAGTACTCAGAAAAGCAATTACATCCTGATCTTACAAAGCTGAGCTCTTTCTAAGGCCTCATGAGCAGCAGTTTTAGAGTCAAGGTGATCCAGCCATTTCTATGCACCAGAACTTAACTACAGTTTGGACTATCAACTGCTTTGTGTGGCAGCTTAGGAGGGAAAAGAAAGAGGCAAATCTTTATTTCAGCAGACAACCTCCAGGGTCAGGTCTTCCCACCACGTGCCAAGCAAGCAGGCCGTGGTGATGGCTGGTTAAGCATCCTGGCTATTACTGTGAAGGCTAACACAGCTCACCTGCAGAGCCAGCACAGCTCCAAAGCAAAGCAGCACTGTAAGCTCAGTGCATGTGAAGGTAGCAGCACTCCTCTCGCCTGCAAACACTGTTCTGGAGTAACTGCAGCACCAAGCAGTGATTTTTATTGATTCAGTTTTTTAATACCATTTGCTGCACACAAATCCAGGAGAAAAAGTACTTGTGATTTGATGCTGAATATCCATAAAGGCATTTCTCAGCATATCTAAGAGCCTGTTTGGAATGCCAAACTTGCTGTACACAGCGTTACTCCAGCTGCAGAGACACTCAACCTAGATTCCCTCGCTGTAGTAGGGGTGGGGCTGGCAAGCCATTCTCAGTAAAAGCTCTGGAACTTACTTTCCATCTTGGTTTGAAATGGTTTGGATCTGGTTACCACCCAGGCCTGATACACTAGACATCTGTTCAAGAAGACTTTTGGAGAGCACTGAAGTTCTGCTTTCCAGGACAGTGCAGGAGTAGAAAGGGATTTGTTCATGGTTGGCTGGCTAAGAGCCTTCTTAAAATTGTTACTGGGCTGCTGCCAAGTTCTTGCTGTGTTAGCAATAGCATTAAGGGAGCAAAGCTTTATATAGGTATTTTTTAACATCTAATATATACAGGCAAAAGCAACAAACATCTCAGAACTAGGATAAGTCACACCAGGCCCTTCCCAGCACAGAAATTTCCCTGTCTGCAGACACTTCTGGGGATCCCTTATACTGGCAGTGCAGAAGGGGCATTAGGATAGAAATTCATCTCTTACCTCTTGCACATTTGTTAACTCCAACAGCTCTCCAAAGACATAAACCCCAGGAGCCTCCAGCACTTGATTTATAAGAGCAGTCAGGGCTGAGCCACTTGTACCTTTGGCCAGTAAAATAAACTGCTCTAGAAGATTGCAGGATGGTTTCTGTTCTCCTGCCATTCTAGGTTTTCAATCTGCCAGTGAAAAAACATGACATTAACAAATCCTTTCTCCTGAGCCAAGTTCTGCCTGTCAGTGGGGCAGAAGGCACACAGAGCATGGCAATGTTTCAGTGTCAGCAGAGACAGGGATTCCTTCAGCACTCAGGGGGCAGAAACACAGCAGGTTCCACTGCTGATTTATCTGGGGAGCACAAAGGATTCACACAGTACCTGAGCAAAATTTCTGTCTGGCCAGTTCCCTGGAAGGATCTGCTCTTGCTCGTAGGAAAGGAGTTCAGATTCCATACTGTTCTCAGACTTTTCCTTCTACTGATGCTGCCAAAAAATGCCAACTGCACACATGCTTATTAATCCATCTGTTAGAGGTCAGCTAAGACTTCCTCCTTCCTCACTACACAGCTCCAAAACAGCAACCAACTCACTTCCCTGTGAAGGACTGACCCACACTGTGTAACTGCACATCACACCTTTTCCTTTGCCATTGGCTGTAGTGTGTACACAGAACTCCTACTGCTTTCTGAGCCTAAAAGGCAAACAGAACTGTGGCCTGTAAGCAGCTTAGCAACCTGCACTGCACAGTTCAAGTGTTTTGGGTTAACTGGAAAGCTTAAGTGATAAAAATACCCTTTTACAAAGGCTCTATTTAAGCCCCTGTAAAGAGAGGCCTTTGTCTTCAGCTGCTGCCTGACATTTCTGGTGTGCATGTTGTCTCCCAGCACCAACATGTTGCTTTGGAAATGTAAATCACTGTTTATTAACAAGTTCAACCAAATGAATTGTTTGTTTACAAACAAGGGAGAAACTTCCCAAGCATGTTACTCAAGAACTCAGCAGATAAGGGGTGTTCGTGTCATGCTTGTATGGAATAATTATCAAGTAGAGCTGTAACCTTTACTTTGGTGGGGAAAACCAAGCAGCAGAGATGTGTCTCATGCTGTGTGACCACTGGTCCCACATCCACCCTTTGGGGAGCACAGTCAGACAGGGGGTTGCACTGTTTCACCATGCCTGACCAAATTAAGGCTTGTGAACATCTCAGACAGTTTCCTGTATTAGTCAGCTTCTAAAAATACCCTTTATTCCACTTCACTACACCTGCAGGTACAAATGGTCTCACCCTGAGCAAGCAACACTGTCCACACCAAGATTTCTTGGCTCTCAGGATAAAGTTTCTTTCCCTTCCAGGCACAGGTGCAGCCTGACTGAGCTGCTCTTCGTCCTGACTGAGCCATCCCTGCAATACAGCAGCACTCAGTGTGGCTCCCTAACACACAGGGTACACTGGTGCCACTCTCCCTGCCCACAGACAAGAAGCAGACACGGAGCAGTTTTCTCAGGAAAACACGTGGACTGACTGACCTGGGAACGAGAGTCAGATTCCACAGTTCCCAAGCTATTGTCCACCCTCACGGGTCATCAAACCACACGCTAGTGCAGAAGGGGATAAAAGCAGCTAGCTGTATTCATGCCCTGCTAGGGAAGCAATGACAACTCTTTGCCCTTTCCCCAAGTAAACGCTCAGAGAACTGCGGTGCTACTGCAACCTGAACGCACATTGTGTCGCCGGGAACACCTCGCAGCTTCCCACGCCGACTGACCCTGCTGAGGAGTGACTGAAACACAGCAGACCCTCCAACCGAGCCCGCCCAGAGGCCACCACAGCCCAAACACGGGACAAACCAGGCTTCCCCCGCGGTCAGGCCTCCCTAAGGCACCTGAGGGGGTTCCAGGGCACGAAGCATCCCCGCGGCAGGGA